GCCCTCGACACAGGAGGAGAAGGCGGAGGTCAAGGGAGTACGACGATTCAGCTTATACTAAAAAGTGACCTGCAGCAGCGTTGACACATTTTCTCCTCTTAATTTTTTCTGAGATGAGACTTGTCTGCACAAAGTTTCGAAACAAAATCAGCCTGCAGAAAAACATTTATCCCTTCATCAGAACTTTTATTGACTCTGACTCCAGAAGAAAACTGCATCTCTGTAGGTTTTCCATCACAGTCGGCATATCTGTAAAGATGTACTTCATGCTATCATCATTTCCCAATCTTCCTTCATCCTCATCTCTTGCGTCTGCATGTTATTTGCACATTGTACATTTTACTTTAATTCATTTAGTTTTCTCACTTTCCCACGTTATATTTACCAAAATACCATAGATAAAAAGTTAAATTTTAGTAAGTTGACAACGATTAGTCATCTGGCATAAATACTGGCGAGAACCTAGCATTGGCGACAAACGGGGGATATTGGCGGAGTCATATGTAATTCGTAGATGGCGTTCATGTGGGAACAGTTACGGAAAATATTCTTTTAGGGAATTATGCAAGTTGTCTGGTAACCTTTCTTAAGTTGTGGGTTATTTATGTCGGGTTTGATGTTGGCTATAAATTCCTAATATTCTTGTGACAAACTAACGGCCAATTACTTTTATGAGAACTTTTACAGTTGGAGAGTTCTTTATGAAACATATATTGCAATGTAAATTACCTGTATCTAAACATCTGCTAATCATCTCACCCTTAAAAAATATTTGTTTTGCAAACCTCTTCAAAGCTTCAATTTATCTAGTATAGTTCATAGTGCGCTGTCATGCGTTTGTGAGGTTGCCAAGATTGCCACAAGTTAAAAGTAAGATCTATAAATCTGTGACAACCAACCTTGGAGCATTTTTAAGCAAACGTTTTCACGAGTACACGACAGTTATTTTCTCCAATGAAAGCAATACAGATGAAAAATCCCCAGATTTCCATAACAAATGGTAAAAAGTTAACGTAAATTGTAAAACAATAGACAGGCCTTTGCTATTCTTTTTCATGGGCCCAGTTAGCTAAAGGTTTTTTAAATGAGATGGACAATCTCTGCTAAGATGTATAAAGCCAGTAAACGCAGACTTTAAGAAGACTTCTTGCAAAATCACTGATTTTCAGTATGTTGGCTGTTACTATATATCGGCATTGACTAGCACGATGTGTTTTCCCTAGAATACCCTTTGCGTCACAATTTGTTTCGCCATTTCTTCTGTACTTGGCTCTATGAGATTCACTCGACCTCAGTATTTCATTTAACTATGGTACGTGGCAATCTTATGAATTCATGGGCACAATAATGGCCCGCCTTTTCTATTCATAAGAACTACTTAAGCAGGCCTGTAATACTAGTCGTGGTGCACCAAATCCCAAAAACATTTCATTCGCGTCAGAATGTCGGTTTTTTAATGGACTGCTTTTCGGCCACAGATCAAACTTACAGTCGATCAAAATGGCTACATAGACCTATGATTTCCAATCGATTTCCGTTGCCGTTATGACTTCAAATATATTTTATGGACAAAACTTTATTTTCTTATACTAATTTGGTAAAAGAAAATAAGATCTAAAAGCAGCATTTTTCGGCTTCAAAAGTGTTTAGATATCCGAATAATTGTAAATTCAGTCGAACATTACATTTTTGCTTAGACTCGAAGAGCAAGCTTTTGAAACGTCAGCCAGAATGCACTTTGGTCTCAGAAATCGTCTCTTCTTCTACCTCTTCCGGAGATGATGTAAGGAATATAAAAGTTTATATTTTCAATGTAAGGAAAATCATACACTTGTCTCTGTTATTTAAATGTTGCCCTTTGAGACCCGTAAAAGTGTACACTAAATGTGGACTAGGTTGTATCCTTCTTAAGGAGTACAGATAAGTGAATATTCCCGTCGCTATCTGAGTGAACATTTCACGGTGGTAAAAATTCCCGCGACGGTTAGTTTTTTAGAAAATGAGGAAAAGCCTTTTTGGGTTGAAATAAATGGAAGAGGGAAATTTCTACCGCATGAATCTAAGAAAATTATTTTTGTGTGAGTCCCTTAAGGTATGTTTCAATCTATAAGGGTATTCAACACAAACGGGTGAATATTATATTACCAAAGTTGTCATTTTTCGCGGAGGACTAAGAAGGAGCGCATTCAAAAGTCGAAGTTGTCGGCTTTGGCTGAAAAAGCTTTCTTTTTTTGATACGATATTGAATAAAACTACGCTACCTAATCAATCTTTCTCATCCGAAACGCATTTCGAACATTAAATATGATTTAATCTGACAGGCTAAATATCGTAAATAACTTTACATCACGTTTCCGAGCAAAATTCAAAATGCTCACGTTGTACTTAACTCCTAAATCTTAAAATTATTATTCAGAATGGTAATAAGAACTCTTTCGTGACGGAACTGGAGAGCTTATGGTGCATTTTAGAGCTCGTACACTCAAGTTTTACAAAGGTCTCAACAAGGACAACAGTAAAAAGCAACGATGTTTATCAAATGGGAGTGTACAATGTTCAACCATAGTAGACAGCATAAATTTGTTTGTATTTCATAAGACACACTTAAACAGCATAAATATCTCAAACGAAACGCCTTGTAGCCGCCTTCATAGTCCCTAAATAGTCCCTAGGTATTTCTACGAAGAACATTATATATATCATTTTTGGTAGGAAGTTTCTAAGAATTATCCTTGGTGGATGTCCCCCACGCATCAAAATATATTAGTCCACTATTAACAATTATGTTTTACTTATTCGTGAAAATGAAATTTATTTATATGCTTTATTCAAGGCCCGCTGCATCCATAGTTGGACAAAGTGCTGATATTTATTCTGGTTTAAATTCACAAAGTTTTTTTTAACTTACGTTAGCCTTTCATGATTTTTGTAACCCATGATGTTCGACTCGCGTAGAACATGGCTAGCAATTTTCATTTTCGAAAAAGAATATATTTATAACCAGTAAAAGTAGTGCATGCTTTTTAAGTGCCTCAACTGCATTAAAATGCTTAAAAGGGGGTATAAGTGGGGCGCATAGTTTAGTTCCATGAAACATGTTGTAGTCCAGTCATACGGATTTGTCGTAAACCATACTTAAGCCACAGGATATCCTGTTAACTGGTCCCACCATAACAGTTGTGCCTTCCCTGCATACCTACTCCAAACAAACTCCACGTGTAAACCAGAAAGTCCAATCCATGTTTAGTTTTAACTCTGGGAGGTAATTTTGCATTTCCTTTAGACAATACAGAAAGAGGCGCCTCGCCGTTTAGAGAACAGAAAGTAGAGTAAACACAAAAATACATGTTTATACGCAAAATGTCACAAGTATTTTCTGTTATACTCGAAAGGGCAACAAGAGGAGGCTCTTGCTGTCTTATATTACGGCAGTATGGACTGTTTCGAAATTGTAAAAAGGTCTGTGTTTTCGTATATTTACCAAGCACTTCCGTCATTCACACTCATATTTTTGAGAAACAAATTACCAAGTTATTTGCCTGAGCATTAAAGCACCCAATTTCTTGACATTTAATTCAGAGGCATTAAAATGTATTAGATAAAGTTCTGTTCCCTCAAAAGTATTTTCATCATCTTACGTCATTGGAGCTAATTACTTCTCACAGCTGAGTTCTGATTGATTATTTGCGTAAAAAGTCTTGGTAAAAATGCGAATGATTTGCAGACCCCACTGAAGGTTTTGAAAGTAACTCATCTCGCTGTTAAGAAAAGACCTTGGAAGAAATGTCATCTTCAAAAAGGCAACTCAAAAAGAACACGACATTTGACTTTTGCAAACTCTTGACCTTGTAAGAGAGTGCGGCAGATATGCCATCTCAGGAAATGTTAACCGAAATTGGGAAATGTGTTTTTTTCGATTCGAAAGCAGTTACTTGCGTGGAACTATAAGATTTATTGTCATGCATGAGACTTCGTCGGATACATCATGAGCCTACTCCCCACGTGGATGACCGTACATATGGCAGCAATGAGGCGGAAGGACGCTAGCCCTCAGGTCGTGACTCATTTGGTGGGACGTGGTCTCATTTTCAAGTTTAACGTGGTCAAAATGCTTGCAAGGGCTGACAACTGCATGAGCCGTGAACTGTTTATGTCTTAGTTCTCCGGCTCACAATGTTGTAATAATCGGAGTGACCTCCTGGCGGCATAATCTGTTAAGATACTCGTTGGTGAACGTTCGCCGACCACGAACGAAGCTCATCTGTTCTGCTCTGCCTTGACCCTCGACAGAGACTCTGGCAGCCGTAGCAACTGATAGTATAGTCAGATAGTAGTACCGGCAAAGACTAGGGAGACTGGAATGACCATTTCTGGTTTATTAGCCGTCGTCAGCCGGTTATACCCAGCCTCAAATGATGCTATACCCGAGCCTCGAACTTGCAACCTTTTTGATCAGAGTCGAGCGCCCTAGTCATTGAGCCACGAGCTCATTGTCTCGCCGGTTTAGGTCAGAGGATATTGACAAACGTTGAGTAACGTTCACCTGACCGCCAACGGAACTCATCTGTCCCCATCTAACTGGCTGGCAACGGATGATAGGCCAAAAATGGCCATTCAGTCTCCCTTATCTTTGCCGGCAATACTATCGGCCTAGACAACTAGCCGTTACGGCTGTCGGAGCCTCTGCCGAGGCCCTAGGCAAAGCGGGGCGTTAATC